TCTGCGGTAACAAATGAATAATAACAATCAATCATGTTTAAGATGACGATAAAACAATAATGTAACAATAAATAACAAATTTTTTATTGAAATTTAATTGTTTTAAGACGATTTGTGACCATTTGTTGTTGATTTTACGCTGTTAACTACTTCTGAATATAAATAATAATTAAAAGTGGTATTGTTCTTCATTAAGGAATGAGTAATAACAGTTAATAAAATTCAATATGATAATCACTCAATAATATAATGTTTAAAATCTTCTAACGAAGGAAAAAAATACTATTTGTTGATTTTCGTTGTCATTGATATTTTCAGAGGGCAAAGAGAGAGAAAAATGAGGTATAATAATGCAACGTTATAATGGTATCCCATGAGGAAAAGCAATACCCCTCGCGGGCCCAGTATTCCCGTAACACCCTTATATACCAGTGGTGTATTAAACCAAAGTGAGACTACAACCGTCTTTCTCTTGTTGCCAAAGTGGCCACTCCCTCGTGCCGCCTCTAATATCTCATTACTGCGCCACCAGTCTCAGTCCCGGAGCCATTACGAGATTGTTTGCTAGTAGGCATCGGGTACGCGTGATATATCGCCTCTCTCCCACGATACGTTCAATTTTACGAGGACTACTGTCTTTCACTCAAAAAGTTTTTTCTCTTTTTCATTTTCTCCTTGCGCAACACAAATTTTTTTAAAGTTTCATTTTTTTTTTTTTTTTTAGTGGTTAAGGTCGTTGCCTCACAACGGATAGGTTCCAGGTTCGATTCCTGGCCGGGTAGAATGGTGAGATCTAACCATTTTTAAAGTCTTGATCAATCGCCATATAGTCTCATCAGACCCGAAGCGATATAAAATAAGCATTAAAAAAAAAAAAAAAAAAAGTTTCATTTTTAAAAGGCTTATATTCAAAAAAATATACTTCATGTATTTACCTGCGTTGAATTTCTTCCTCATTACATCCAGAATAATTAAGATTCATCTCTCAAACGAGGAATGAAAAAGTTCAATAATTAAATGAATTTGTCTCGATGCTGAAATTTTCCTTATTCATTCGTATTTTAGAAAATTGATGGCTTTGTTAATTTTTTTCATCACTCGAGTGAATTTCTTGTTTTGCTCGACGAATCCCTCACTCACTGGAAATTCTAAAAATACATTTTCACGTATGCATTCACCTGTATTGAATTTCTTCTCGTATATTCAGAGCGATTATGATTCCTCATCTCTCAAGAGAAAAATGAAGAATGTCTCGTGATTGATAGATCCTTCCCACGTGTGTTTCATGTAAAAAACTAAGTCTCAATCAAAGATTCAAGTGTTTCAACTAAAAAATAACATCATTCCTGTGATAACCCCTCCATTAAATTGTCTTTTACGTATATGAAGGACGCGCGCGCGATAATTACTTCGATATAGAAATATATAATTACCCTTTTGTGGGAGTGTTTGGGGGGGGGGGGGAATAAAGGGACGAAACTATGTCAAATTATCATGTTTTTAAAATTCATGGAAGAAGGAACGGATTCAGTCGAACGTGGGATGTGGACGTCTGCAAATAGAGAAAATATTTCTCATCAACCAAATGAATAAAAAAAAGATCGAACGAGAGGGATGTCAACGAAATACTTTCAGGCCCTAATTACCTAAAAATTTGAATATGTCTATTTAGTTATGATACATTGCCTTTCCGTCTTTCCAATCTCGTCCTTCGTCCGGATTAAAATTTCACCTGTCATTTTTTGTACGTTCTCACTCTCTCTTGCGCTAGTCTTGCCCGCACGAGAAAAAAAATTTCCCAAATAATGTTCATTAATCCCTCATTTCCTCATCCATCCGCATTTTTCAAAATTCATCCCGCTCTATTTTTTGATTGAAAAAGAAATTCATTTTTTGCTTGATTTTCACTATATTCGAATGCAACAAGAAATGATAACGGATTTTTTATGATCGTTATCTGTGTACCCATAGTCCCTGGAACAGTCAAAAATAATTGGTGTCTTTTGGCTTGATTCTCGACTTGCACAACTAACAAGGTCCATTTCCATGGAATAACCATCAACGGTAATTGGCACCTTCTATCCATGCATCCCACCCCTCTTTTATACCCAAAACCTATCATATTTCAAGCCCTCGGTTACAAGAGACAGAGAACGAAGGTGCCGGGAGTTGGGTGGATCTCTCGTTGAATGTTGCGTGTTTCGTACGAGCAAAATGCCCGTTTTATACAGCCTCTGACACCCTTTAGGACATACGTAGGGTGGGGTACTTCACAAAACGGGGATAACAAAGACCAGAAACCATTCGACGACTCGCTAACAACCCCCCCAACTCCCTCTGCCCACACTAAAGCTACCCAAGATATTCTCTGACGTGAAACGTGTTGCTTTTGTCGTTTATTTTACTGGAGCCCTTTTTACATCGTTTTGTTGGATTTTTTTGCGGAGTTTTGGTCGTGGAAAATGTTGGCCCTTTCAATATTTTTCGATGGAAATTTTGTTCGATAACAATTCCGTTTTTTCTTCATTGTCACAGGAGTTAGTGAGGAGAAATTGCAAAATGAACGAATTTTTTTATGTGAATAATGTCAATTATCTAGGGAACCATTCATCTTAGGAGAAAATACCATAAGAAATTTTTTATGTGAAATTTCATCAGCTGCAAAAAGTTCTCATGCCGTTTTCTCCTAAATCAATTTCTTCTCGAGATATTTCCAAAAATGTAAACCTGAAAAAAATGAATGAAAGATGTCACAGAAAAAATAATGCAAATATTCATTAGTATTTTGTTTGATTTTTATTTTGCTTCCATCAGGCAAGTAGAAATATCTTCGGTAAATTTACAAAGCAAAACACAATGAGAAATGTTTTAAATATTTTTTTTCTTTAATGTATTTGCCATTCTCAGGTGAGAATTTTTTAAATGTGAATTTCAGTGTCAATTATCTCGTGAATCATTCATCTTAGGAGAAAATACCACAAGAAATTTTTTATGTGAAATTTCATCAGCTACAAAAAGTTCCTATGCCGTTTTCTCCTAAATCAATTTCTTCTCGAGATATTTCCAAAAATGTAAACCTGAAAAAAATGAATGAAAGATGTCACAGAAAAAATAAAGCAAATATTCATTAGCATTTTGGTTGATTTTTATTTTGCTCCCATCAGGCAAGTAGAAGTATCCTCGGTAAATTTACAAAGCAGAACACAATGAGAAATGTTTTGAATATTTTTTTCTTTAATTTATTTGCCATTCTCAGGTGAGAATTTTTTAAATGTGAATTTCAGTGTCAATTATCTCGTGAATCATTCATCTTAGGAGAAAATACCACAAGAAATTTTTTATGTGAAATTTCATCAGCTACAAAAAGTTCCTATGCCGTTTTCTCCTAAATCAATTTCTTCTCGAGATATTTCCAAAAATGTAAACCTGAAAGAAACGAATGAAAGATGTCACAGAAAAAATTATGCCAATATTCATTAGTATTTTGGTTGATTTTTATTTTGCTCCCATCAGGCAAGTAGAAGTATCCTCGGTAAATTTACAAAGCAGAACACAATGAGAAATGTTTTGAATATTTTTTTCTTTAATTTATTTGCCATTCTTTACTTAGGTGTCAATAGTCATCAATGCGCAAACAGTGGAAAAAATCTGATTCCATACCGATACAATAAATTTTAGCTTATTATACATCATCATTATCATTATCATTTATCATTATGATGAACGTCATAATCATATTATCATCATTCATAATTATACAATAATTATTATACATTACTCTCTCAAGTTTCACCACCCTTTCTCTCTCTCAATCACATCGATTTATTCCAGTTTCGGTTTTATCTATTTTTTCTTTCACCAAGACTTTTTTCCTTCCCAATATCAGTCATTCACAGTGAACATTCCATTCCACGCACTCCCTCTCTCTCACACACACACATCATCCAATCACCAGTTTATTTTTTCATCATTTTTAAAATCATTTCTTCTCGTATCGCGGCGCATAAAAACTCGGATTTAATTCATCAATCATCTGTTTAGATTTAAAATCCTCTAACACGATTATTACTTAGATACCTTAACTGTTACTTCGTATACATTTTTTAAGGCGATGATTCAATCGAATGAACTCATTTCATAAACGAACAGCCAATGCGTCGAATCGTGGCGTCACGCGTTGATGTGCATTGAAAAAAATTTTCAACGATTTAAAAAACATCGATAGAATTATCGAAATTATGCCATCGTGTTCTCACGCTTGTTAACGCACTGCCCTTGCCCCTGATTCGCGATTGGCAAATTTCTGATGCGAAAGAAATGCACGAAACGAGTGATAATTGTACACCACTATTGGCTGCAGCGACGACAACTGGTTTTTGCCGTGATTAATGGTCACAAAATAATCAGCTAGATGTTTGAGTCACGCTTCGTCACACCCGTTATCATGTTAAATCGATTTTACAACAAAATTAAATAATCTACTTGTCAACAAATACAATTTCATTAAAATGAAAAATTCATCGATTTTCGTGATAAGGGCGGGGACGGTTGATCCAGCAATTCCGTCAGTATTTCTTCGTCAGTTATTTAAAAAAGGGGGGGAATAATTTTTCGCACGGAGAGAAATATTCAGTTTAATTCAGGGGAATCGTTTTCCGACAATTTTTATAGCAATGGAAGAGAGGAAATCTGAAACGTCCAGTGAATTCTCAGTTTCATCATCGAACAAAGTACGAAATTGTCACGTAATTTTTCCCGATGAAGTAAAATCTTACAGAAACTTCCCGATGTATTGTGCCTCCGAAATAAAAAATTCTTGAACGCTCAGCAATTTTTATGAAGCTGGTGAGTTATTTCTCCGTTGCGTTCCGTCAAATTTCTCAATCGTTGGGGAAAAATTACGGAACGACTTGTCCCTACAGCGGTGAGTCATCAGTTTACGTTCCGATTCGTACAATTTCAATTTCGACTCACACTTTCTATTGAATTTTACTCCGCTGGCGGATTGCGTTTCGAAACGTAATTTTTACGTTTTTTTCTGGTAATTTTCTGTGAATTTTTCTCTCCGCGCAGAGCAAAGACAAGAAACGTTGAGTTCCTTAATGCGAAGGGGTTCGAGTCTGTAAAATTTACTTTGAGATGTGTAGTTTTTCGAATGGGAAAATATCTGACGCCTCTAGCTGACTTGGAAATATTTTTTCAATGCAAATCGAGAAACACGAGACAGACGATTCTAACGCCAATTAATCAAGATGATGAATGGTAGACATTTGCACCTGAGTCTTTCGGTATACGTGGGTTTTTTTTTCATTTTGTTTAAACTTTTTGCTTCAGTATACTAGGGCATCGATGGGCTCTGGCTCGAGGGACGTCAGGGAGATTGACACATCGAGTAGTGGACAAAAATCCTGATGTAAATAAAAATTGTGTCTGTTGATTATAAATAAAAACTCGACGAGCCAAAGCCTTCGACTTTGAACATTTAAAATTCGCGATTGATCAGATGAGTGAGGGATCATTTTAGTGAAAATACAATTCCACATTTCAAAAAATTAATGTTTTTGTTAATTTTTTTCATCACTCGTGTGTTTTTTTTTTGCTTGACGAATCCCTCACTCACTGGAAATTCTAAAAATACATTTTCACGTATGCATTCACCTGTATTGAATTTCTTCTCGTATATCCAGAGTGATTATGATTCCTCATCTCTCAAGAGAAAAATGAAGAATGTTTCGTGATTGATAGATCCTTCCCACGTATGTTTTATGTAAAAAACTAAGTCTCAATCAAAGATTCAAGTGTTTCAATTCAACAATAATATCATTCCTGTGATAACCCCTCCATTAAATTGTCTTTTACGTATATGAAGGACGCGCGCGCGATAATTACTTCGATATAGAAATATATAATTACCCTTTTGTGGGAGTGTTTGGGGGGGGGGGGGAATAAAGGGACGAAACTATGTCAAATTATCATGTTTGTAAAATTCATGGAAGAAGGAACGGATTCAGTCGAACGTGGGATGTGGACGTCTGCAAATAGAGAAAATATTTCTCATCAACCAAATGAATAAAAAAAAAGATCGAACGAGAGGGATGTCAACGAAATACTTTCAGGCCCTAATTACCTAAAAATTTGAATATGTCTATTTAGTTATGATACATTGCCTTTCCCGTCTCTCCAATCTCGTCCTTCGTCCGGATTAAAATTTCACCTAACTGTCATTTTTTGTACGTTCTCACTCTCCTCTCTCCACTCGCTCTTGCACTAGACTTGTCCACACGAGAAAAAAAATTTCCCAAATAATTTTCATCAATCTCTCACTTTCTCATCCATTCGCACTGTTGAAACCTCTCACGCTTCTTCCCATTAATAATTTTTCCATTTTTCTTTTCTCTCCCCATTTTTTCCAAAAATTCATCCCTTTCTCAATTTTCAATTAACTATTTATACACAATATATTATAGTAAATTATTATTATTAATTTTTAATTATCTCTAGGACGAGTGGTAGCCTCTGTTCGCCCCTCTGTGCTCCCCTCACTGTCATTTCTCCCAAATTTTTCAAATCAATGAAAAAATATTCAGATGCCAATTAATCGAGACACTAGTTGATTTAGTGACCACTGAGTCATTAAATTGAATTACTTTAGCGCATCCAAACGGCGAATCACAGTGAGGAGACTATTATACATGTATCCCTTCATTGCTTCGGTTGGTTTTCATTAACATTAAATTTAATAATAATTAAGAACTGTACAAATTTTTAATGTCTCCTAAGTCGAGAAAATGTCGACGCTGCGGGAATCTGGTCACACACAAATTTTAAACTCGCATTGATTTGCTCCATCAATTTCTCTCGATGGAAATTTCGTATTTTCAACTCATCACTTCATTCCGTGAATTATCTCAACCCTTTTCAGGGGGTTTGGATGATTAAAGTCACTGAGCGCAGACTTTTCTCATGTCTCATGTCTCGCGGAACACCAGGTAATGTACATGCCCGCTAATTTAACTATCACTATATTTCAATAATATAGTCCTCTCTCGTTTATCCTCCGTCGATTGCGATTGTATTAAAATTTAACATTTATATCTCAATCACTACAATATTACACCGCAATATTTGTACAAAGAACAATCACATGAATTTTTTATTTATCCTTTTTCATTCTTGATTCCTTTTCGTTCCAGCGACCGAATATATATATATATTTTTTTTTTTCATTTCACTCGTCGTCGAAATCCTTTGGCCGCGTTTTTGCAATTTTTTTTTTCCTCGAAGTTTTTTTTCGCTCTTGTTCGTTACCTTTTTAGGGGCTCACGGGGTTCTCATTGGGTCGTTGAGTGCATCCTCGCGCCGAAGGGACGGGCGTGTGCGTCACTGGAGGGGAGGGACACTGGCCGTCACTTCCGGGACTGGAGATTCGTTCGCGATTTCCCGCGGCTGCGGGAGCTCTCGGGGTGGAGATACTCCAGGCCGAGACGTGTGTCGTTGCCGCGAGATCTGGGGATGCTTTGTTGCGATTCTAGGGTTTTCCGGGCTCTCGGGGTCCGGGGACTCCGTCACCCGCGGGTTATACTGCACCATTTAGCTAGGGTTTTAGCTGGAACAGAAGGAAATTTCGGGGCGACGGTTAATTTGGATTTTGGAGGGGGGAATTGAAGGGGGGAATCACGAAGATTTTGGGGGGGAATTAAATTCCTGTGGTTGTTGCGAAAATTTTCTGTTAAAGCTGCGAAATTCTTCGATAAATTCAGTAGAAATTCCAAAAAAAAATCCCCCCCCCAAATTTTTAATTGAATAACATAATTAATGAAGAAATTTACTGTTTCGCAGTTTATCGATTGTTTTTTTCAATAGAAATGTTCAATCGAGAAGATTCCTTAATTTTTTTTTATTTTTTAATTCTAAACAAGAAAAATCGGGTGAAAAAAACATAAAAACTTGAGGTTGAAGAATTTCTGTAGAAATTTCAATGATTTTTTCTATAAAATAATTTCTGTCGGTAAATTTTCCATAAAAATTTTCACTTCCCTGCGGAATTCTTCTCTAAAATCGACTGAAAACCCCCAGAATACGACCCCCTCAGCAAAATAATTAAACTCCGCTCCAAAAAGTCCCGACAATCCTCAACTTTTAATTGAATAAAATAATTAATGATGAAATTTACCTTTATAAGTGGTGTCCATAATATTCAGGTGGATAATGATACTGGTTGTGGAAGGTTGGATCCCCAGGGGGTCGGTGCATCATACTGGCGGCTTGTCCGTCCATCATGTAGCCCATCGTCGCGTCCGGACTGTATGCACCGCTTGGACCTGCGGACAATGGCGGAAACACTACACGTTACTACGGTTAGAACTCTGTTCCGTAATTGGCAGACGACAACTGGACAAGCACGTCGAGTCTTCCCTTCTGCAATATCCCATTTACGGTACATGGGCATTTCCCCAAGTTTTCTCGAACATCACTTGATCGATGCTCATCGATAGCGAGTGATTTATTCACCGCGAAGACTCGACGTGCTGTGTTTTTGTGTTTTTCTGGGGGAAAATTTCATTCGTTTTTCGAATTCTCCGAATTAATCCCATAATTTTTATTCATGAATTCAAAGAAGCGATCAATTTAGGGAAATGTTGCTCCACTGAACCCGAAAAGACTAAATTTTTTAACGAAAACATGAAAAAACTAATCATTAATCATTGATTTAATCTCATTATGTAAATTATTTTCACGCATAAATTGAAAGAAGCGATGAATTTAGGGAAATTTTCCTTGAGTGCATCGCACGCGTGCTCCATTGAACCCGAAAACTAAATTTTTCAATTAACAAATGAGAAAATGATGATTAGTCATTGAGTTAATCTCATTCTCGAAGTCAATCTCATTATTAAAATAACTAAATACCCAAAATCCGAATGATGAATAATTCCTCGAATATTATTCCCCAAAAACCGGAGTCTAAAATCCAAGAAGTAGCTTTTCCCAATCGATCCTCGAGTCTGTCATCACCAGAGCGATAATGGAGCCCTCGCAAGTCCGCCAATGGCTAGAGAGAGGCTGAGTGAAGAGCGGGGCCGTGGGGGGAATCAACGACTACCCCGGTAGTTTTAATGTTGGTATCTTAATGTATATTGCCTCGATAAATCAAGGGCACTGATTGCGTCCCACCCTATATCCACTTGGACGAAGCTCCCCCCTCCGAATCCATTGCAAGGACTCCGATGCGAAAGAAAGATAGAGATATTTGGCCATTGTGCGAGTAAACCCAGCCTCCCCCCCCCTCATTCCATAGTTTCTTTCTTATGCTAAACTTTCACGGCGACCTCGATCAATCGCGATTGGCTTTTGCTTTTTTCCTCCCGGTATTATCGATGAACGTTAATCTTCTGTACTTTCCTCGAATTTATGTGCTCAGACTGGAGGAAGGATTCGGGAGGAAATTAAATCCGGGAAAAATGAAGAGGTGAAGAAGGCGACAGTAGTAGTAGAAGCATTTAGTTTATTTATTGTTTGGATGGGTGTCCCGCTAGCCCTATCTCGTCGAGCGGAGCTGCTGCCGCCAGGCGGGGAGGGAGAGAACTACTGCGCTCATCTAGTCGGTGCGACGGATGGAGACGGATGGAGACGCCCAGAAAAATTATTTATTTGAAATTTTTCATTCATTTCGTGAATGTCATTATTAAAAATAAATGAACTTGGTTACTTGATTCAAGAAAACGGATTTAATTATATCAAATAAATCATTTACTGAAATAAAATTATTATTATTTATTATTATTATATCGAAATTTTATTTTATTATAACCAAATAAATTTTTATTAAATGAATTTTTTATTTGCAATTAATAAAAATTTATCAATAAATTAATAAATAAAAAACAAAATAATACAGGACAAAATAATTAATAAATGTTTTATTAATTGCAAATAAAAAATTCATTTAATAAAAATAGAACTCCGAACTGAAATATTTAGGGAAAAAAAAAATTTCGAACAATTTTCTGGATTTTTCGGTCTGATGTTAAAAAATTATCTACAACTATTCAATTTTCATTAAAAACCACAATACCAGTATTTTCCAACAGATTCCAATCACGACCCGGGCGTTTCCTCATCGCAACAGTCGGTATTTCGCTGTCGGCATTTGTTGAGAATAAAACGTGAAATAGAAAAAAGTATTCCAAGTAAAAGAAAAAAAAAGGAAGGAAAGCGTAGCAACAACGAAGCGGAGAGTGCCGCGCGTTTTGCTTTACCCACGGGGCCGTGGCCGTAAATCACAATTATTGCGAACGTTCTCTCCCTTAAGAGTGTTTTTCAGGAGCGATTCAGTCGAGGTTAGTCCGGCCTCTGGTCTCTCTCTCTCTCTGGTGCGGAGAAAACTCGAGTCTCTGGCTTTGTCCTAGGTCTCAGCGAAAAAGATTATAGATCCACGGGTGTTTGGGGTTTAGAAAAGTACGAGAGAGTTCAGATATCCCCGTGGAATGTTGCTCGGGGTATTATGGCCACTCGGAGAGATATTCTCACTAACGAGGGATGCCCGCTTGGATTGTGATTAAATCGTGGTGCAGCGCTGTGGGGAGTCGCCGGGACGGCAACAATGTGGGGAAATTGAGGAATACGCGGTGTCAGGCCTGTGGAGGAGACGAAAATGATAATAATATCGGAAAGTGGTGAGGAATGATAAATTCGGGACGAATAATATTTGACCGTTAAGATGTCAGAGCGGAGGGCAGACGTCTCCTTCTGGATTAGCGCACGAAAAATGGGAAAATTCTTGATACAGATGGAAAGTTTTTGTACAAGTTCATCAATTCTGTCGCTAATACCGGGGAGGATGGTTGGGGAAAATTTTTCTAATTAAGGAGAGAAAATTGGAAAACGTAGCTGAAAAACTATTTCAAGAAGTTTTAAATAGGGAATTTTCTTCAATAAAAATTTTTGAAGACGAAAATTCCGTAATTGACATGAATTTTGAGGGGAACATTCATTCATTTTTTATGAATAATTGAACAGAAATTTACAGTTCGCACGGAATTTCCCAAATGACAATTTTTCAATGAAAAAATTCCTTGAAATTTCAGTGAAAAATATTTTAACAGCGTCCAAAATATAGAAAACTCATTTTCAGAAGTCATAAACATTTTTTATCTGCAGAACCGAATTCCCAACGACTCCTGCAGACAACAGCCCCTAAAAATTTTAAATACCGCTAAATCGGATAATTCTCCACAAAAACACCAAATTGTCCTCGAGCTGACGCGAAAAAAATTCCCAAGCTTTTTCTTCGGTGCCTTGCATACCTCCAATCCATCAACATTTATTCATTCAGACATCCAGAAGCTAGGGTCAATCGCAATAACCCAAAGCCGCCCCAACAACAAGTTTACACACGAGTTTCGTCAAGCGAGTTGAGGAAAAACAAGCGGTAATGCAATAAACCCACTGACGGCATCAGTCCGGGTATCCGTTTTGTTGGTCTCGCTTTTTCCCTCTCATCCCATCCCCCCATTTTTCCATCCCTCATGTACGCCGTGGGACCCTTTGCACCGGATCTAGCCGGTGACTCGCGTACCTTCGTAATTTATTTAGAGGGTAAATGAGGTAGCCGTTAATTGCCGTCCGCTAAGCTGCGAGAAAGTGTACCGTCGGGGATGTTGTTATTGTCGGAGGGTGAGACAGAGCGAGAGAGGGGAGTCATTTTCACGTTACACTGGCTGTTACCCCGGGCATTTTCCACCCAAGGATGTGCCACACCGTTGAGAAGACTCCGAGGAACAATTCCGGGTTTATAAAAGGGGCGAGACAAACCCGAAGATTCATCTCGACGAATCGAGAGTTACGGCTGCTCCGGTGCCAGCTGGTCAATTTTGAAATGGATATTTATCCCGTGTGGATGGAGGCCAGGGGCTTGGGTGCATCGACTTCATATTTTATGGCAAGGGTGATTCGTCTTCAGGAGGAGAATGAATTGGCGAAGTTCAACGTCTTTAACCCAATTTTGGGGGATGGATGTGAATTATTCGGAAGATGTGAATTAGGCAGGAGTCGAGCTCATCGCGTCTTGGTGGGATATCAATTCTCTTAGATGTGGGGGTGAAATTGAAGAGGTGTGGAGTTGTGAGGTGACAGGTTCGAATCCCGGAGGAAGCAATATTGAATTTTTTGAATTTTCTGGATTCCAAGCGGAGAAATCACGAAATGATGAATGGGCAGCTGTAAAGATGTTGGTTAAGTTTTTTTTTATAGTAACATAGATTTTATTTGTTCCCTTGAGACGGCCCAAACTTGTGCTACACCAACATCTATACAACTTCATCTCAGGTGCCTCCGTAATCTAAGTGTATGGCATAAGGATGATAAACTTGATGGTAAATGTAACAGCTGCTAGTGCAATTGATAAACCATCAGATTAGTAAAATGAAAGACATGGGTTCAAATCCCTGCAGTACCCATTTCCCTCAATTCAGGATGCAAATAACTTTTTCAAATCATCATTCTAAAAGAACATTCATCGTTGATTCTCCCACTCATATCAATCTAATTAAATCATCCGCAAGATCTACAAAGAGTATGCCAGCCTTCTGGTCTAGAGAGAATGTTGGGAAATCCCTCTGGTGGTAGCGTTGAACATGAGAACAACATTAGTAGTAACTTATGGTTGTGGCCTGGCACTCTCGCTGAGGGAAGGAGAGCAAGCGAGCGTGGAAGGTACAAGTAAACCGTGAGAGTAAGGAATAAAGTAAAGGGGAGAAGTCTATAGCGTACACATTCGGTGTTGCCAGCCGAAGAGGCGTACCACCCTTAAACTTGACTGTGTGAGATTGTGGAATTCCTGGGGGAGAGGTATCCACCTCCTGAACTTTCCCCGGCGACGACACACCGACTGCTCTGAGTTGTGCCCCTCTCTATGGAGTTAACCGTGCAAGTTGCATTGCCCTCCCTCCTACAGTGGGAAACCTCGACGAAGGCAACTGCCATAGCGGATACGGAAGCTGCTGGGATGAACTGTTGGTAAGTTGGGTGAGGAGGGAAAAGAGGTGAGGCAAAAGTGTATTGAGGAGGAGCTTCAGGAGGAGCAGAGGAAGGAGACGGAAGGGGAGCTGCTGATAGATGTGAAGACTACCTAACAAACATTACTTTTACTGATTTGGTGAAACTCCATGAAGTCATCAATCACCTCAAAGTGAATCATCTGATGAATAGATTGACAGAACGAAGTCACTGTCCAAAAGTTAGTTCTACAGAAGATTCCAAACATCTTGGTCAAAGATGATCAAAATTGGCGAGTTGAAAAGGATCTGTTAATCAGAAGATTTTCCTCATTCGTCACTCGTTT